TTTTTTCTCTTCCCTCCCTACTTTCCTATTTTCTAACGATATGATCTGAATGATTTACCCAAATTTTTCTACGATTTTCTTCACACGCAGGGTAATCTCTTATCTTCTGTTCGAACCAACATTTTAAAGTATAAAGAATGTTCTTTTTTCTAAACAAAAACCGAGAAAACACTGGGTAATCTTTTAGTTTCTGGAGATGTCTAAACGAAATTTGTATGGAAAGCAGTAAATATAATCTAAATAGTTCCAAGAGGAGAGTAAAGTTAATGGTTATAATCCCCTCTGAAAATCACTCGCAGCGACAAAAGCATGTACTCTGGAGCTCCACGAAGGCTGACGTGCGAACTAATGCACAGTAGGCAGGGCGCTTGAACGATAACACGGTTTTCGTCCGAGCTCATCCACCTTGCGTTGGGCATTTTATGGTTTTCTGAACGAGTGAAGTTTATGCCATGCTTCCAACTGAGGCCGTCAGTCGACAGTGTGAACTACAAGTTTTATGTAAAACCAGTAGAGACTGTTAAGCGGCGACACTGTAATCCCATTGATATAAAGCTGATAATGATAATGGTAAATAATCGTTCTGCATGGAACAAGCTGCACTGGCTAGGTCATGTGATCCGGTTGGATAAGAATATTCCAGCTTTGAAAGTTTCCGATGCAGTACCCGCCGGTGGTAGCAGAGGAAGAGAAGTATCTCGATCTTCCGCGTTAGGTCTTGGGTTTAAGGTGGTGTAGACTGTCATTGATTTTGCATCATCTTTCTATTGGATTTAGCAACTATCCTTGAGATGTGATCGACAGTCGGTTAGGCGGAAGGCGAGTAAAACTGAGCTTATCATCTCTGTTTACCTGTGCATTAAAATGGGTTTAAGTTGCTGAAAAAATTGCAGCTTTTGGCTGATTGAAAAAATCTTGGAATCATGCTAAAACCTTAAAGAGCCTTCACGGCGGATCCGCCAAAAATTCCAATTCCCTTTTGCAATCAAAGAGCACGTATTGCCTCGGAAGAGCTGTATAATCTTGGTAGATTTCTATCACTCGCATTTAGCCGGGTAAGCACTACGGCTACTGTCAGTGAAATTCCAAGTATTTTCCTCCATTTTGCACACAAAGCTGGGCTCAAATTCATTACTTGGTTACGCCTAGTTTCAGCAGCCCAGAGTACACCACTGAACCAGAGGCAGAGCTTCTTTGAAACGTGCAAGCTTTTCTTTGGTGTCGATGTAGGCGATGCTGAAACTGGTTCATCATGCTTGACGCTCGGCATAATGTGCGGTGCAACCACTTTTCATCACCAGCCATGATACGGCGCAAAATCCCCGCCTTTGATGTACTTCAGGAAGCAGCACAGTGGCGTAAAGTCGCCTTTCAGCATCTGTCGGCTCCATGCTTGTCTGGAAATTGGTGAACATACATGAGTCTGCAATCAACAGACTCAGATCAGTGGTATTTTCGGATAGTCGTCCGCATTACAAGCCCTGACGTCTGTAACAGTGAAATCTAAAATCGTAGAGGACTGCCGCAGATAACTTAACGTGGTGCCGGATCACAGTAACATACCGGGTAATGTGCTGGCGGACGAGCTTGCCAGGAAAAGCAAGATGCAAAGATGGAAAAGTGCCCAGGGCAATATAGTCAAGAATGGAACAGTTGAACAATAGAAGTTCACGTGACCTTATCGAGTTGAAATGGAATGAGTTGCCTACAGTTACATATAGGTCCTCTTACAGGACACTACTTATTGGGCATGCACGCGAGAGTTTGGACGTGCCATCTAATGCAACTGTAGAAGTTGCAGGCAGGAAGAAGCGCCTGAAATTTTAAGGCACTTTCTTTGCGAATGTCCCGCACTTTGAGGCAGTAGGTTGACATTTCTAAGGGCGGCAACCTTTGGAGACCTGAGCGAGATAGCAGTGGCTAAGATGCGGCGACTTCTCAGCTTTGCAAACTCCACATGTTGGTTTGGTTAGTCGTTAGGGGTCACTAGGATCCTCTTTTGTATCACAATGGGCCAGCTTGGTGAGCCGATACCTGGCGGTCACTTCAACCAACCCACCAACTAAGTATTTTCATTACGTGAGCAAAATGTTCACGTACGACAACCGCACAGAAATCGATCTTTAGAGAATGTTTTAGTGTTTTATTATATTTAAAGCAAGTTTTTGCCTTTCAAAGTTGCTTAGGATTCCACTATCCACTCGACACTGTTACCACTTATGACTCATTTTTTTTTTGATCTCCCACACATGCCTACATACATATATTTTCACGTATTTATGTGCCATAAAAAAGCATTTTATATTTATTAGTTTTTTTTTGGGGGGGGGGGGGGGGTTTACATTGTGTCTTTTTGTATTTTCCCACTAAGAATAATCACATAACGAGCAAGCATTTGTGCCAGTTCTTCTTAAACTACTTCATATACCTGACGCTGGCACTTTATTGCTGCTGCCGCTGCAGCCAACAAACAAACACTTCTTCGTTATTGTCACGAGAAAGCGCTATTTTTAAGATTTCTACAAAATTTCTCAATTCTTTAATTTATTATTATTATTGTTTTTTGTGATTTTATCACGCTTACTTATAGCTGCTGAAGAGAAATTTTTTTGAAAAATTCTTCTCTTTTTATTTTTTATTTTTATCTATTTTTTTATCATTTTTATTATTATTTTCTTCTTACATTCGCCTGCATGTGCCATAATTTCTCGATTTTAATGGTTTGCTTTAATTTTGTCGCTTAATTGGTTCAGTAATATCTATACAATAAGTTTTTGGAAAAATAAAAAACAAAGCACAAGAAAATATAGAGAATTAAAAATAAAAAAAGAATTTGTATTAAATACGTGCCAGAATTTTTGGAGCACAAGACTCATAATGCGTACACGTAGAGAAGTGCGCTGATGTTGTACTGTTATGTTTATACGTTTATATGTTTTAAATATATATATATAGGGTTATCTATTGCGTGGTTACAATGGTAAAATACTATCCTATGACATATGTCGAGCTTAAATATCAAAACAAAACATGTTTTGTTTTAGTTAAAAGTCAGCCATTTACAGTAATCAATCGCTTAATGACCGCACAATGCGTTAAAATTATTAAAAGTGTTGAAACCCACTACAAAAATTGTTTATCGATCTATAATATCATACAAAACATGTTTCGTTTTAGTTAAAAGTCAGCCATTTACAGCAATGAATCGCTTAACGATCGCACAAGGCGTTAAAATTGTTGAAACCTACCACAAAAATTGTGTTTCCAACTGAAATAACAAACAAAACATGTTTCGTTTTAATTAAAAGTCAGACTTTACAGCAGTGCATCGCTTAAAAACAGCACAATGCGTTAAAATTGTTAAAACCTGCTACAAAAACTTAACTATCAAACAAAACATGTTTTGTTTTAGTTAAAAGTCAGCCATTTACAGTAATGAATCGCTTAATGGCCGCACAATGCAATAAAATTATTAAAATATGTTAAAATCAACTACAAAAATTGTGTTTTGAACTGAAATATCAAACAAATGTATTTTTTTAAGGTTTATTTTCGAAACCGCAAAATGTATAACACTGTAAACGAATGTATGTTTCTATGTGTTTTACATTTTATTTATGATTTTGCTACATCATGACTGTTCAACAATTTTTTGTTTTTATTTTATTTTAAATTTTTTTCCATATCTTTGGCCATAAATTCCACTTTTCCCATCTATATATATATATATATATATACATAAATACCGCAGACACATCCACCTGCCTTTTTATTCCCACCTCCAATATTCATTGCTTTCCATTCTCGTCGTTTTCTGGATGCTGTGTGCCACTTGGGATGTTTTTTTTTCTCAAAAGATACTCCTCTTAGTGGTGAGTTTTCGGTCTGCTTAGCAACTAGAAATTGCGCATGTCAATGACTCACCACTTATGTACTTATATACCTTTACATGGCTTCTAGTGCTAAAGGGTTGCTGATGCTCCCATTCCGTTGGGTGTTTGATATATTTCGCCCTTAGATACTCGTATAAGGGATGCTGTTGGAACACCTATTGGACATTTTGCAAGGCATCCCTTTATGCAAATCACCCGAAATGGTGGTGATTTTGATTGCTTTTGATTGGTTTCCATTTTCGCCATATTCTTCGGAGGATTTTATGAATTTTTTTTAGCTCCTTTTTAATCTGTCTTTAGCGCTTGTTACTCGAGTCTCTTGAAAAACTCAAGATGGATATTTTTGCTGCCAAGTTTGTATACCAATTCTGTTAGCCCCCACTAAGTTGTGAGGCTCACAAGATAGTTAAAACCTAAAGGTGTCTACAATTCAATCTCCAATCCAATTATTAGTTTTGTTAAAGTGTGGAAGAGAAGGAATCACATTCTAGTTGGCTGGTTGAAGAGAGTAGGTTAACGACCTGACCATGGATGGACGCCCGGCCCAAAACTACTATGTGTTAGCGAAGAATTTTTTAGATTATTATTTGCTTCCATCCTTGGTGCCCCATTTCATTTAAGCTGTCGCTTGGGATATTGTGCTCTAATCGGCCGCTCATCAAGACCTCCTAAAGGCATTCGCAAAGGTGATGCTCCATGGTTTCGTCATCTTCTTTTTGAAGATGATGTATCACGGGTAGAGATCCCATCAATATACCTACAAGGTTACTAATTCTTCTTTTGATTTGTCTTGGCAACAATGTGGTCCAGTAGTATTAGACATTGTACTCCTGAGATCATTTGGTTTTTGAAGAAAAGGGTTGAAATGATAAGTTGTACTAGTGCGCGTTACAAGTTAGAGCGTCTTGCGTTCTAGTCCCAATCATTCTTGTATTATTCTCATTACGGAATCGCCTCGAAATTTTATCTTCGTACATTTCAGGAGACATATTGAAGCTACACAACACAAATCGAACGAAAACTTCTAGTTGAAAATCGTTAGGAAATGATCGAGTTCCATCGAAGTCAGATCTACCGAATGTAGGTCGACCAAAGGCAGTTGCACTCATGGTAGATCCGCCGAATGCAGATCCATCGAAGACAGATCCACCGAAGACAGGTCAGCCCGAGGCAGATCCACCCAAGGCAGATCCTACGAAAACATATCCACCGAAGGCAGATCCCCTGAAGGCTGATCCCCCGAAAGAAGATCCGCCGAATGTAAGTCAACCGAAGTCAGATCCACCGTAAGAAGAACCGCCAAATGTGGGTCCACTAAAGTCAGATCCACCGAAGACAGATCCACCGAAGACAGATCCTCCGAAGACCCATCCACCGTAGGTAGATCGACCGAAGGCAGATCCACCCAAGGTAGATCCATCGAAGGAAGATCCGTAAAAAACATATCCACGGAGTCATACCCACCAAAGACAGATCCACTGAAGACAGATCCGCTGAAGACTGATCCACTGAAGTCAGATCCACCGCAGGCAGATCCATCGAAAGCAGATTCGCCGAAGACAGATCCTCCGAAGACACATCCACCGTAGGTAGATCGACCGAAGGCAGATCCGCCAAAAACAGATTCACCGAAGGCAGATCCGTCAAAAACAGATCCACGGAAGTCATATCCACCGAAGACTGATCCACCAAAGACAGATCCGCTGAAGACTGATCCGCTGAAGACAGATCCACTAAAGTCAGATCCACTGAAGTCAGATCCATCGAAAGCAGATTCGTCGAAGACAGATCCTTACAGCCAATAAAACTAATAACTTCTTAAATGTTGCTGTCAGTTGTTAATCATTTCAAATTGATGCACCTCGCATATGTTACGGGTAGAGCTCTCCTCTTTCTAAACTTGCCCCACAGAAAATTGAGCTATTAACTACGCCTCATGACACTCTGAGCGTTCCGCCAATGCGTACGCGTGTGTTGACATTTCAATTATTATGGGTGCAAAGAAATGTATGAATTTCGCTACAGCCTACGAACAGTGGGGCTAAGCCCCCTTATGTACACACAAATCTACATGCATGTGAAGTTGTATTCAAACAAACAACCGTTATTGATTTTCTTGCTAACTTTTGCATATGAATTTCAATGAGTTTTCCCTCGATTTACCCCCTCCGCTGGGTGGATTTATTTGCTTTGTACTTTGTATGCATCTTCTTCTGCTTCTTCTTCTTCTACTACTTCTGCTTCTACTAACACTTTTGCGCTGTTTTATGTTTTCCAAATGCCAAAGTGTAATTCAATACGCAAACGTAAGTGCCCAAGTGAAATGTGGCAAGCAAAATGGGACTAATAAACAAACTGAGTATATATACATAATATAATATATGTACATACACATATATATATAGGCGATTATAGGAAAGCCAGCAAAATTGTTAGAGGAGATGAGGAAAAGTATTTATTATACAAGCATATATACATACATATACATTTGTAGTGTTGTTGGTTAATATAATTTTATTTCTTTTGTATATGTAAGGAGTGCTGTGCGTATACTTATGTGTGTCACTGTTACAGGAAACCTTAGAAACCCCTATATTAATTTTATTAACAAGGCGACATAAGCAGAAAGGATATATGTATGTAAACGGCTGCAATAGCCGAGTGGTTAACATAGCGTCCAGACAGTCGGAAGTCCTCCATAGTGAGCCGAGAGGGCACCATTTTCGACCAGTTTTTGCAGCAATTGGTGCCCGGTTGTCAACAATAACGCGCCGGCTATTTTCTTTCAAGGCGTCAATCCTCTCGGGTTTACCTGACCTCATAAAAACTAGTTCAGTGGTGTTAAATCGCATGATCTTGGAGGCCCGCGATGAGAGATAATGCGCTCACCAAAAGTTTCCTTCGATAAATTGATTGTTTCGTTGGTTGTATGGCATTTACTTTGGTCTCCTCCAACTCAGGCACGAAAAAGTCATTAATCATGGGTCGATAGAGTATCCTGTTGATTGCCATAAATAATGGTCGGTGTAATTTTTAATTTTTTTTTTTACCAATGATACCCTCTGTCCGTAGATCACACCGAACAGTGCCTGCTTGAGGCTGCTACGGTGTCGCAACAATGGCTTGTGGGCCATCATTACTCCAATTGGGACAATTTTCTAGATTATCGTACCCATTCAATCGAAAGTGAGCTCCACCGCCGAACAAAATTTTCTTGTAAAACTCGAGATTGCTGACCATATCATTTTGGGGTCCATTTACCGAACGAGCGACATGCTCGATGGTCGTATGTCTTGCTAGAGCTAGATTTTTTCTGTTCGCAAATTGAGATCTTACCGCAAAATCTTCCTCAAAGTGGATGGGCATAGCTCCAATTGTTACGCCCGATGGTGGATGGACACATTCAGGTCTTCTTCGATACTCTGTTGCGCACTGTACGGCGTCTCTGAGAATGTCCATTATCCACTAAAAGAAACTGACCCACGGTTGCTCAAATTACTGACTCTGATGTGCGATTAATAGATCGAATTTTGGACGCAGCGCGAGATGTGTCCCGAGAGCCGAACCATTATTTTAGTAAAAAATTTGCCCCCGTCAGTCCGTTCTGTTATTGTAAGATGGAGGAGAAGAGAGAACCGTTTGATTGGCAGGAAATCGGAATTTAAAGTTTTGGCGATCAGAATTCAGTGTTACAAACTGATTTTGGCTTTGGTCTAAGGGAAGAAATTAGTTATTTTGACACATTCCTTCCAAACCCATCATCCATTCGGTATCGCCCGCAATGAATTTTTTGCGACAGCACTTTTAGTGGGAGTGATATTAGGCTCGAGGCTTTTAGTGGACGATGACGAATCGTGTACTTCAATGTCCCCAATCGACGGGGGATAAAAATTCGAATGGTGTCGAACATACCCTTCATCTCTAGTCCAGAGTGTCATCGGTTTCCATGCTGGTAAGTGGCGTCCGAAGGAGCCTCCCTGATACTAGTTCATCTCCGCGAACTACGGAGCAATCGATCGTTCCTTTACCCTTTTCTCCTTTCTGACCAAAGAACCATTTGCAATGAGCAAACCAAATACCACTGCGTTTTAGAGGTTCAAAAATCTACCCACGGTAAGGCATGCCAGGCAAGAACTGTCACTTTCGCAACATTCCCCAACAACTATTTTGGGGAATATATTTGCGGTTGCAATAATAACAACAACAACAAACCAAATCTAGTCTTGGATTCCTGCACGGCTGAAAATGCCGCCCAAAGAAACGGCGTTACAATCCTTTCCTCGTCGGTAACTACATCGGCACGGATCTGAACAGGTCAACATGGTTCAGCAAAGTTCTCCGGCTAAGGAAAAAACAGCCGCTAGCTACCGAAAATCGACTAGCCTTACGGAAAATGCGAGACTAGCAGCCGGTTCACGGCAGACCAATCTTAACAGGCTCACCCAGGACAAAATAACACAGATGAAGGTGGATAGCGGCAAGCCTTGCATAAGTAAAACCCCACTCAGTCCTTCTGTGCATACCGTTACAACCTCAAGAGCAGCAAGGCCAACTAATTTTGGTCTTATCTCTTACTCTTCTATAATTCTGCCAAGGTTCAAACCATCAAACCAAGGTTTTGTAGAAACTCAGTGCCACCTCAGCTGATAAACTGTCAGATTATTAGTCAGAAAGCCAGCCTTACTGAGTAAAGATCTTCAAAGGACAGCCAACCAAGAAAAGCCAGACTTGAGAAGAGCAAAAACTCTGAAAGACCTCGGTCGGAGGAAAACACGGTGAGTGAGACACAGGTCTACAAAACCTAACCAACCGTCGTCGCAAGCTACGAAACGCTTCATTACTAATTATCAAACTACACTTTTAAGAATTAAGGACACTTCTAATCTACTTGCATGCCTTTTCTACATTATGTACGGGTATGTACCCGCAGTGTCTCAGTCTCCTCCTTTTCCCCGCGTGCAATATTATCCTAGCCACGAAAGCAAGTGTACGCGCTTAGCTCTGCCTGCATTCGCGTTTCGCGTTTCGTCTTTACCATTTAACTCTGTCGACTCATCGAGCATTTCAATTAAGTTAATTAAATGTTGTTGGCGTTAACTGTTCAGTTAGCTGCTCAACAAAAGTGGTCGGGTGTCGGAAATGCGCTGTTGCCTGCTGTTAACAAGTTGCGGTTCCTGTTGTTGCTGGCGGTTGTGTGCTGCGAGCACTTTCGCCGTGGAACTTAAGTTGATGGAGGATAAGTGTATAAGTCTGTGCATGTTTATTGTTCAAGAGAATTAAATTTAAGTACAAATTTAAAGTGTTTGAAAGAGTAGAGTTTCATAGTTTGAGCAACGCCTTGCGCTTTTTATTTTACTTCCTTAAAAAAAACAACTGGAGTGGGAGATTAGAAAGGGAAAGTTTGGGCGAGGCAAAGATCAACTATGATAGGAATGAGCCTAGCGGGGTTGTGTGCCGAGTGTTGAGCCAACCACGTGGAAATCAGCTGCAACGAAGCATACGTTCCAAGAACCTGACATCTTGTCGGATTACTATCAACACGTACCGAAGATACGCACCTACCTGTGTGCAGCAAAGAACGCCACTCAGCGAACACAAGAAAAGTTCCACCTCGAAGAGCTGTAATCACAATATAGCCTACCGGTTTTTTTACTCGACTTGATCCAAACCTACACCTACAAACGGATCAACTGATTTTCGGAAATACCAAACAATTAGCTGGTACGGTGAGGATTGTCGTATCGCAGTTGGCAGAAAATACGCTGCCCACCTCACAACGTTGAGATTGACCACTAAACGTGCTGGATGGGATAGATACCGAGCAACGCCAGTGCAGAAAAATAATGAAAAATGCCGAGAAGCGAAAGTAGGGAGAGCTTGAGAAGCTAGTCGAGAACGGCAATGCTCGAAAATTCTACAAACCGGACCGAAACGTTCTCTTATTGAACCAAGAGAGACGGGGGCCGCTGGGTTGCAGGCCGAGCTATTCAAATATGGTGTCCAAGAGTTGACAAGTTGCATGCAACAGCTTCTTTGCAGAATATGGTCGGTTGCAGGCATGCCCGAGGACTGGAAGTTAATTGCGTTCTACCAAATTCACCAAAAAAAAAAGAAAAGAGACTCCACGAGCTGCGCTATTTACAACGGGATAAGCCTGCTTAATATGGCATAAAACATCTTCTCGAGCGTTTTGTGTGAGAGACTAAAACTCATCGTCAACAAACCGGTTGGACCTTAACAATGTGGACTTTAGACCTGGTGAGCAATGATCGGCTATGTCTGAGTTTGGTATAGTCGAAAAACTTATACGTCTATGTAAAGTGACGTTAAGCAGTACCAAAAACTCCGCCAGGAAGGACCTCTCCAGCTGCGTCAGCTGCGTACACCAATAATATTGACAACATTGGCCTCAACAACTGCGCCGTGAGTTCTACTTTCTCCAGATTTGTTAAGCAGGCGATAGTAATGGGATTGGTAGTGAACAAGGGCAAGACGAAATATGTCCTGTCATCAAGCAAACAGTGGACGCACGCACCAACGGCTTGGTACTCACATCACTGTCGAAAGTAGTAACTTTGAAGATAACTTCGTCTGTCTTGCAATCAGTATTAACACCAACAACAATGTCAGTCTTGGAATCACACGTCAACGGGTGCTACTTTATACTGAGTAGGCAACTGAAAAGTAACTTTATTACTTTGCAAACGACAACGGCGGGTCTCAGCTATTTTGTATCTCGGAGGTCTTATCGTCTTTGTCCTGCAATTGAAGAGCACGACTTGGACAACATGTGGTTTGAACCAAA